TAATGTTCCCTTTCGTGTCCACAGTCATGTATACTGCATACGTCATCCCCCCTCGCTGCCCATCGAAATTTACCAAGAGTTCTCCATCTGGCTTGTACACCAACACTTCGCCATATGACTGAGCACCTGTGTCTTGTGTGATGATGTTTTGTATGATGATGATGTGGTTCCACCTGGTGTCAACAGATACCGCATATTCTCAATCGAAACTACCGTCTACACTAGGTACTAAACGTCCTCAGCTGCAAGCCCTGTCTGTTGTATAGTACAGCGACTCTATAAAGTTTTATGTTCCCCACCATCCACAGGTTCCCGTACCCATCTAAGGCTATATCATGCGCTAGCACATTGTTTACTCTTGGGTTGAAGTATGATTTGAACAAAACTGTTGGGAACTGTCTCACAAATGTTCCCTGCAGAGTAAAGACTTGGACCCTGTTGTTCCCACGATCTAATGCAAAGATTTCCCCTTCATCTGACACTGCAACACCACATAGACAACTGAACTGTCCTGGTCCTGAGCTCTGTTTTCCAAATGTCACCATCTGTAGCTGATGTTGCCCCTGCTTTTGGTTACCATGGTGATGACCTGTGCCCCTTGCTGCATCATCGCTATAATCAGATGCTGCTGGGATCGGTGCAGATTGGAGAGACCTGACTGTCACATGTCCCAATACTGGCACGGGGGTGTCTGTGGGCTGAAAGACAGCAGGCTGGGTTTGTACGGGAGTTGGTGCTGCTTTTTGTACTTTTCAACCACCTCTGTCAAAACCGTCTCCTGGCTAAGCAACCCAAGCCCTCCCTGCTCCAATTCTTGTTCTGCTCGATCACAGGCAGCAGACAGTTCATTGACATCTGTCAAAACACTTTCCCTTCCATTGTTTATGCATTCCAGGTTCATTCTTTTGCTTTGTTCTGCTTCAGTTAAGAGCTGGTCTTTTTGCTCTGATAGTTCCTGCACCATTAAGTTAAATACCTGAATGATATTGTTTTTCGTCTTCTGTATCTGGTCATTCAGGGTTTTCTCTTTATCCCCAAAACCCCTGACAAAACCACAGTATCTTTCCAACATGTTCCTTCCCTCATCGATCAAGGCCTGGACTGAAGGTTTCCTTTCCTGTGCAGCTTTTTTGACGGTTGTTATGAGGTGAACATCATGAGCCTCCTCTAGACACAGTTTACAAATAGGCACATGGCATGGTTTACAATAGAGCTCCAATTTCTCCGAGGGGTGAGAGCTGCAAAGGTTTCCAGTTCGAGAAGTTTCCACTGACAGTGTAGCCTGTTTTTGCAGCCTCTCACACAGACTTGTAACCAGGTGGTTGTCAGGTAAACCTGCGACCCCCTGGGGTGGAAGCCTGACCTTTCGACGACAGTCTGGACAATGCAAAGTCCTTCCCTTCCTTGCATGGTCATGTAGACAGTCCTGACAGAAGGTGTGTTGACAGGGCAGCATCTTGGGCCTGGTGAACAGCTCCAGGCAGATGCTGCAGGACAGTTCTTCACGTATTTCGGTCTCCAAACTCGAGGGTGCAGCCGCCATGATTTTTTATTTTACTAAAGTGGTATATGTAGCCCTTCCACAAGCCAAAGTACAACCTACTTAATGTTAAGTTTGGTCTAGTCCATTTCAACTTTGAAGGTGAAACTTTGTCAAGTTATGTAGGTTGGGAGAAATGTTAAAGATAGATACATTCTCTAGCCTTATAATCCCCTGCTTAAAGAGCTTTTTTCATGTTGTCATGTAGTAAAATTCAGGGTTAAATGTTAAAAAAGGTGAGGAAAACAGATATATGTAGGTTTCAATGTAGTGAGGTCAGTATGCAATAAACCAGCTGGACATGTAACCCCCTCCAATAACTAGTGAGTTGGTGCGACCCATGTGTTAATGATTGATGACAGACATGTTCAGCTGGGTGAGTGTTTGTCATCGATCATGTGCCTATTTGTTCTCTGATGGTATAGATAGAAGGGAGAACAAAATTCTATCATTTATATTGCTGAAGTTTACATTTCTTTAGAATCTCATTATTAAGTACTGTGCAACGGGTGCCATAGTCATGGTTTGTATAACAAAAGTATCTTTGGCAGTTATATATATATCTTTCTTTATTTTAGAAGATCCGTTTTTAGGAGTAAAGTATAAGCTTACATGGCAATTTGCCACAGTAACAATTTCCTTAGAAACCGTTTCCATAGCAACAGTAACCGTGGTGAACCACATTTTTGAGGAGGTCTTTAATGGTTTTCATAGCAACAGTTTCCATAGTAACAGCACCCTTGGTAACCATTTCTAAAGCAACAGTATCCGCGGTGACAAACCTGTCTTGAGGAGCAGGTGTTTGAGTGAACATGCTCTCCTGTATCGTCTTCTCCGCCTTGATGACGCCATCGTGTAGCCGGCCATGCCTCCTCACACAGATGAAACAGGGCCTCGCTCACCTGCTCGTAGCTGTGGGGAAGTGTGTGTGTGGGGGGGGGGGCAATTTTAACAATTCTTAAAAATTATTATTGGGTGGGTTTATACTGTACAGAATAAATAGTTTTTACAACAATAACTTAAAATAACTGGATACGATTAATCTTTCTTTTATCCTGCTATTTATACGTGTATAATTCATGAAATCTCTTTTTAACATTAGCGTTACTCCACTCTGCACTACTATAAATATAATCAAAAAAATGCTGTCACGTAGTTCATTGGAATGTGGCCAAGTGGGGAAACAGTATTAGTCCGCCAAATAGTCTCCCAGATCGTTCCCTTCCCTTGAGGTCCATTGGCCAATCATCCGGTTGGCTGCGGTCCACTGTACATCCGCCATCCAGTCACCGGGGACCACGTTTCCATCCTCATCCTCAGCGTCCACATGTACGTTTCGTAGTCCGGGCTGTCGCATTTGCATCCAATTGTGAAGGGTGAGGAAACCCAACACATCGCGCATCTGCGCCTGCAGGGTGGTGAGTAGGCTCCGCTTCCGGTGAGTCAATATTCCAAAAGCGTTGTCCACAACAGGACGGTCGCCGATAGTTCATCTCCATCGGCTAAGGGCACGGCGACTGTATGGCTTTATATATATATCGCTTTATATATATATGGCTTTATATATATATGGCTTTATTATATATATATATATATATATATATATATATATATATATATATATATGAGCCACTTTAGCAGGGGAAATGCATCGTCGCCCACCATAAAATAGGGAAAGTCCCTGTCGTCCCTCGTGCAAGAAATAAAATGGTGTTATCTTTCAGCCACGAGGAGCAGTACAGAACAGAAGCCCTTGTAGTTGTAATAGACTGATGCACTCTTCTTAGGCTTCTTGATGGCGATGTGTTTACCATCAATCGCTCCACAACAGTGGTGAAAGTTCCATCGCTGTCCAGACTCGTGAGCGACTTCTTTCCAATCGTCCTGTGTGGAGGGCATGGTGAAAGTTTCCCCCTTATATTCCTCGTGGATGGGGCTGGACACATCCGGCACGAACTGGCGTATGTTGTTGTGTGCCACCCGATATTCCTGAAGAGACCTGTACCGGTTGAGCGATGGTTGAAGTGCCCTGATGTAAATGGCCTCCTTCATGCCTTTCTTTAAGTAATCCTGTTCGGTATCCAAGATTCTGACCCCCCCCCCCCCCAGATCCACTGTGTGTCCCGGTGATTCTATGTGGATGTGCTGTGACACCTCAGATGCAACAGAACTGGGTCTTCTATGTTCTAGAAACCTGGTTTTTAGGGAGCGCTCAGTTTCCCCGATATAAGTTTCCCGACAGGGGCCTCTGTTAGTGTTTCCCTGGCAACTTATGTGGTAGTAAACATTTGTTTTAAACAATTAACAGTTTTACAGGGACTCTCTTGTCCAAATGTGATAAAATCAACACTGAATATGCATCAAATGTTGTTGCTTTTACTACAATGCTTTAATGTGTGTAAAATCACTGTAAATGCGCAGAATGCTTATTCAAACGCAATCGACGTCAATAACCAAACAACTGATTCATACTAAAAAGTCCCACCTTGTCTCTTCTCTCATTCAAACAAGCTCTGATAAGACATCTGATAAACGAACCTAGCCCCCTGTAGTAGTTTCACTTAGTGTTTTCTCTTATTTTAACTAATTATTATCATTATCATTATTACACTGTATTTATAACAGTATTACATTATCTTATTTCATTGTCATCAATTTATACCGTATATTATTTGATTATTCTTATCGTATTATTTCCATTTTCTATTGTATTATTTCCATATTGATTATATTTCAATTTGTATAGTTTAGAGGAGGACCTGGTATAAGCATTCCATGCTTCTCTCCTCCTCCTGCACCTGTTTTTATCCTTGTTTTGTATTATTATTGTCTGTTTTGTTTAATGTGCAAATTAAAAAAAAATCAAATACAATCAAATATACGCCTGGGGTCCGATTTGTGTTATGGGCCATTCCGATAAAGTATAACGCTATAATAATGTGTGAATGATACAAAGGTAAACTTGCAGTATATGTTAAAGTCAAAACATATGTTAAAGTCAAAACGTAAAAACGTAAGAAATTTCAATAGCTTCCGGTAAAATAGCATGATAAAACTATCTTGTTATATACGATCCACACAATCCCTAAGAGTCTTTAAGAATTGTTTGCACAAATACTTCCATCAGTAGCACACCAGCACCACGACAGGATTTTTTTTTAAATAATTGTATATTGTAAATATTGATTTAGATGTTGTTTTGTGACCTTGTCAACTATGTATGTATATTCTGTATGAATACCAGGAAGACTAGCCTTGGACCCCAGGGTCCACCGCTAATGGTTATTCTAATAAAGTTTCAAAGTTTCTTTTTGAGCACGTCGAGTCACTGATGCCAAGGCTATAAAATGGTCCCTTGCTAGGTTCCGTGGGGAAACCGGAAACACAACTTGTCTTTCCTAGGCCAAACGCGGGGCTTACTTTGTTAGCAGTAAACAATCCGCATCCTGCCCATGCAACGTGTCAGTATACGTGGCTAGACTTGCTTCAGCTTGCTGTACAACTTCGACAGGGAAACATGCTGCCTCTTCTGATCTTAGCTGTACTCGGACTGGTCGGCGCTGCGCCGATGCCTGATGACATTGAGTGTAAGCCTCAACTTAAACTTTAATTCATTGTTTTGATCTTGGATAGACAACGGCCACATTCTTTAGAAGATTGCAAACGCTGTCTGCATGTGTTTGTGTGTATGTGTGTGTGGGGGGGGGGCTGTTTCGTTGTTTAAAATTTTGTTTTATTTTTGGAATCTTATTGGCGCCCTTTGGTTATGTCAGCCTCCTTAGATGATCTGTGGCGACTGTAACTGCGCTTTAGATAGTCAATCAACCAGTGATTTTTTAGGACAATGACGTAATATATCAGGCACTTTTCTTGAAACTAATTAGATGGCTTCCTGAACTACGATTAAATCACCACCTGTTTACTCATTTTTCTCTTTCTACCTGATATCTAACTCCCCTCCCGCCTTTCCAGATCCACAATGTGGGATTGGTAACGGTATGTGTATGCACCGTTCCGACTGTGGTGACTCTACTGTCAAGACGTTCTGTGGAAATGGTTTGGTCTGCTGCATTCTTTCTAAATCTAGTGTAAGTCTCAAATCATTTCCTTAAGATGTTATATGGGGGTCCTTATAGACACAAATTGGATATAAATGAATGTGCCTAAATGGATGGAACATGTTGAGATTAACTTTTACACTTTGCATATCGGCTGTACATTGTAGGGTTTAAGCCTATCTAGACCGGGCTTTTTAAAGCTTAGTGGGACCGTGGGGGGGGGGGGCTCTTTTGAGTCCCCCTCAGAACTCGCGAACGGTATGTCGTATGACCACCAAATTTTCAGAGGATGGTGTACTAGTAAAAATTTATATCTACATATCTATTTTTACGTCGTTACGACGTAATATGACGTCATTATGACGTCATTAATGTGATTTTATCTACATATCTACATATCTATTTTTACGTCGTTACGACGTAATATGACGTCATTATGGCGTCATTAATGTGATTTTTTTTGGCAAAAACCGCCTAAATAGGTTATTCGTTGAAAACTAAATGGTAAACAACATAACTTTACCAAAAGTGTTTATGACAAAATGTTGCCCATAGCAACACCATCGACGTCATAAAATGACGTCATGCATATTTAAGATATCCGCCATCTTGGATCATAAATCTTGAATTTTCAAAAATATTTTTTTTCGGGATTCGGGACTAAAGACGTTCATATGAACCTTTTTTGCCTTCGACGAGAAGGCTATGAAATCGCTTTCGGCCTGTTTTGTAGATTATGCACGGTAAAGTTTGAAGGCATGGTCCGTGGTTTACGATTTTTGGCAGGCAGGTTGTCTTGGGGGTGGCCATTGTCAAGGCCAAAAATGGGCTTCGTGGGGGGTTCCTACGTCACTGTAGTTGACCTTGGTTTTTGGTGTTTTTTCCTTGTCATCAAGATATCTCGAGTATCCTTAAATGGATGTTCATGATTTTTAGTGGGCAAGTTACCGTTGAGAATGCCGAGGTCAAGTTCAAAGATGGGCCCCGTGGGGGTTTCTATGTCACTGCAGTTGACCTTTGTTTTTTGTGTTTTTTCTTGTGTACAAGATAACTCGAGAATCTTTAAATGGATGTTCATGATTTTCAGCGGGCAAGTCGCCGTCGAGGATACGGAGGTCAACTTCGGATACGGGCCTCGTGGGGGGTTCCCATTTCATTGAATTTGACCTTTTGTGCTGGTCGTTATTGTTGTTAGCGGGATAATTCGAGAATCTGCAAATGGATGTTCACGATTTTTTGCAAGTTACCGTTGACGATAGCAAGATCAAGTTCGGAAATGGGCGTCGTGGGAGGCCCGTACGTTAATGTAGTAACACTGGTCACTTTTGATTTGGATAAGACACCAGCAACCCCAAGTATGAAATTCCAGGCAGTTAGCATTATGGAAGCACCCCGAGGTGACTCCCTTCGACGCGGTAAAATTATAGTAGGGTGCACTAGACAATCACGGCCAATTTATATGTTGAAATATACGGTATATTAAAAAAAAGCTATCGTTTTTTAACATAATGACGACCACTTTGATTCGGCCCTCTACCGGGGTCAACGGAACTGCAGCCGGCTCACCCTGGAACGTTGTAACATAATGCCGCGCATTTATACACGAACAGGGAAATCTTCACAATCCAACTCATACGGTGTACAAGCCGATACCTTTCCTTACCACACAGTGCAGTTCATTCATGGCTACCTCTCACATAAGTCGCTTTAGCCAGGATGCAAGAGGTCTGTCTGCACTACTTTCTATACCCGCGTCATAGACCCCCGGGGGTCACCCATTAATACTGTGTTATGCGACCTCAAAGAGTTCATCCCAAAAAAACGTTTTCACATGTGAGGAGGCTAGTTCCACGGAGTGTACCGAGTGAATTTCAAGTTTTATGGTCTGAGAACGAATTAATCTGCGTCAAATTTTGCATAAACACGATTTTGATGGGCAAGCTTTTAATTGTCGCAATTCTTAATACTAATACGGAGACTTCTTGACGCAAGCTAACTATGAGAAGACCTCAACAGCTACAAGATTATGAAACACAACAACCACAAACTACTGCTGGTACGCCTCATAATATATATTTCTTGGTAACTTGAGTCTTGCCGAATTCACCGGAGACGAAGGGATTACTACACGTTACATTGTATTCATTCACGGTAGCTTCTTAAAGTTTGCGCTGAACAATAGCTTTGAAAAAAAAAATAGCAGTTTAACTATGACTGCATGAGAAACACATTATACACATTATTTTCGTACATTCCTGTGCTTCACCACCATTTAATAAAAACTGTAGCAAAGTTGACTGCTGTCAGATCCCGTAATCTCCCGCGGGATATCCCGCAAACTCCCGCGGGATATCCCACAAAATCCCGAATCCCGATTATGCTTATCTCGCGATCTGTACTGTAAAAGCAGTTTGTCTGGAAAGAGCAGAAAAAACTTATTTTACACAAATTCAAAGTAGTGTTTACCAAAAATGTGAATATAGTTCTTTGGGCATTCGTCAAAGGCACTCCTATACCAAATGTTAGGTCATTTGGTTGTAATATTAGGTCACAGGAGCCAAAAATGTACATTTTTTGTCTGAAAATAGCACAAAAGACCTGTTTCACACCATTTTCAAGTGATGTATGCCAAAGTTGCAAATGTCATTCTTTGAGCATATGCTCAAGGCACCCCTGTTCCAAATGACGAATTCTACATTCCGTATTTCTGTAGAAAGACATGGTACAGGCTAGGTAAATAGTATATTGCTTCGTTCACAAAAAGACTCTCTGACCACTATAACTAAGATAATCATCTTCAAAAAGCCTACACTATACATACACACAACACCCACCAAAACAATATCACACTGTCGAAGGCATGAGCCCTCCGAACTCTAGTTGTAACAAGAAATGGAAGTTTTGATGAAATTTTAAGGAAAATATCCTGTATATACATGTTCTAATAATATGGTCCGCCATCTTCGATTTTGGCCAATGTTCTAATAATATGGTCCGCCATCTTGGATTTTGACCAATTAGCATGAATTATGCAATTTTAATTATAAATTTAAGGTAGTGTATAATGGTGCCTGAGGACTTTGGGGACATCTTAAAAATACTAGTTAGAATTACTTTTGGTCATTGAAATTTTTCATATAAGTACCTTATTGCAAGACAATAATTTATGCAAATTTTTATGACGTCACGATGACGTAATCTGGAGTTATGAGCCACGCCCCTTTTTTAGAAAAATCAATTTTCCTGGCCAGTGCTTTGGTTTTCATTGACCATATTTTGTAGAGAGGCGCACTATAGTGATAGCAAAAAACGTACGTCAGGATTTTTTTTCTATCTTCAAATGTTGATTTTTAATGAATTTTTTTAGTAAATTTTAACAGTGCCATACGCCAGCGGCCCTCCCCAGCACATAAAGCGGCGCAGCGTGTCGGCCTGACGTACGTTTTTAGTTTAGAAGCTTATGTTTAAAATAAAACAATTTTTGGTCCCTTCTTATTAGCAGTTTTGCCACAGTTTTGATCTAAAAATGCTGTATATGCTGTATGGGTTACATAAATGTCCATTTTGGAGCCAAAAAGAGCCGAAATCGCCAGGTTCTGGTCCGCATTCCAAAGGCCCCGATGACTTCCGGTAAAATGCGGGTCATTGACCCTTCAGCACGCTGTATTTACCATTCTGAGCCGCGATTTAGAAAAACAGGCCGGGGATATGTCCAGTAAAAAGAACAGCCCAAGCGTCCCCATTCTTAAAGCGTGGGGGAGTCACGTGACCAAACCGAAATGGCGGACGACGACTTGGATGCCGCGAAGGACGCTGTGCGGTTTGCGGCAACATTTGGGCCGCTAGACAATCTTTTAAACGGCTATACCCTACGTAGTTTTGCAGGTGGACTTTCATGGACTATTCTGAGACCTTTCTGGAGAAAAACCGTCCGCGTTTTCTGGAGTTACGGACTTGTTTTTGATGCCTACCCCCGAAGTTCTTTGTTGTGTTACGGAAAGCAACATACTCGGAAAAAAGACTGAAAACATGGAGTTACCGGAGTAGATAGCCCTGGAGAAAAGCCTGCCCGTACGTGGTATGAGATTACTAGCGAATATAATTTTGTTGATTATGTGAATTTCTGTTGAACGTTGTCCTAGTAGACGTGTGCTTACAGTATATGTATTTTTTTACGTACGGTAGTTTTATCTGCAAAATATGGACGATCCTAGCCGCGGCGACTGTTGCAGGGCTTCTCTTGCTTGCAGTCTTTTACAGTAGCCCTAACAACAGTCGCGGAGCGGTGCATTGGGCCAAATGAACAAACATGCGCTTTACCGTGCCGGAACACTTTGGGACCGAAGTTTGCACGTCCCTAGATTGCTAACAGCCTCACCTAACGTGCCGGGGTGTTTTGCGCGTCAACCGGCCCCTGCGCGACTCGTGCCGCCACTATTTGCGATCGCTCCCCATGTATTCATAAGCCGAGTGGCCGCCATCTTGGTCAGCCGCGCGCTGAATCAGCTACTTGCAAACGTGCCACTACTTTTCTGATCCGTAGAAATAGCTTATCAGAAAAGTAGCGACAAATTTGCCGGCGGCTGATTCCAATCAAAAATGGCGGCCAACTGTTATGTT